TATTTGACCCATTCTACCCAGACATTTGCATCTCCATACCCTGTCTCTATTTCAATAGTTTCTTGAAGATCAGTTACCTCAATTATTTTTACTCCTACTGGATCACTGGAAACAACAACCTTGCACTAGTGTTGTCCTGTGTAACCTTGAAGGCATCCATACTAGATAATTAAAAGTGAGAATGACTTGCCACCAATGACAATTTTATTGATGTAACTTTTGTAACATAATGTTGTTTAATTGAAGGGGGGAAAACATTGACAAGAAATTATACTCAAGAGGCTGGATTTCTCAGTGGAACATTGGTAGGGAAAAAAGCCTGCTTAATTTTTCACCTAATGCCACTTTTTTGCTCTGCCATTCCTCTTTCCTCTTCACCCAGCTTTTTCTTTTTGCCATAAAATGTGCAAATCCTTGCATTTTAGCATCTTGAAACAAAGTTCGTATGGAATGTCCATACTTCCATATTTATTATAACTTATTATGATAAAACTTTTATCTTAATAGGAATTTGGTGTATAATTAAGATCAGAATTGTTCTCTTGCTTATTTTTCTTGTTCTTAAAAAAAAATTGATAATTCAAAGGATCTGGAAGATTACATTTATGAACTGATCTGTTTTCTATACCAAAAGGTTCCAAATACATTTCTACTAAAGTCACAGATACAGTTCTTAAAAGAAAACTCAAAATTAACACTTACTTTTGTGGTATACTGTTGTTGAATATGTGTATGCTTAGAGGTATTTGGTGTTGACAGCAATCTGGCAGTGGTAAAAATGACATCACTAGAAGTGACCTAAAATAACAATTAAGTGTTGCTTACCCTCAGAGGCCTTTTGAGGAAACATCATGACAACACCAAAAAGAGTATGTATTTCATATTTGAATTTTGATTTATAAATGTTTTGATCTTAGAAGGTAGAAATCCCTTTTTGAGTCAAGCTAGCTGTAGACTGGTCTACCACACTAGCAGTTGCTAGCTTGATGAATTTGGAAATTTCATAAATAATGATAATTTAGTGAACATTTCCCCTGCTTGTTCTACTATTTGAAAAAAATCCTCTATCATTGGAGGTTCCCATTTTCTTTCGTGGTAGTAGCTGCTGATGCACCTGCATACTGTATATCTCTTATTAATCTATTTGCATATAAAATTTAGCATGTTTTATTTACTAATACAGGACTGTGGCTGTCAAATTAAATTAACTTTTACATTGCTCATTAAGGCATTCTCTGTAGTTGCAGTGTATTGACAATAGTACAGACAGGCAATTTCCTAAAGTATTTGTGTAGAGATTTGTATATATTACCAAACAGTTGATCATGGAATTTGTGAAATCCAACTGCCATTGAAAAAAGATCAAGCATTATTGCTAGGTGGATCTAGATTTCTGCTTTCCAGTAAGCTGTAGTGATATCTTACAGTTATCTTTGTTGAAAATATTTTAATGATGTCATAGAGGACCAATATTCTTATGCTGTTTATTATGTTACATGCTTATTATGGTATATAATGCATTATGAGGTTCAGCAAAAGGATTTTTTGCTCCCAAATAAATGATCTCAATTGTATATTTTTTTCATAAGCTAGAACTCAGTTTGACAAACATGCCTAAACTTTAAATGTTGTGTGACCTTGGAGATACTCTGTATCTTCCTATCATATTAATGTGATAAGCATCTTACTCATTTGCTTCTTTATTTATACCAGAAAAATTCCTCTGCTTCTTAAAAAAAATCACCGACATTATGAAGTCTAGTCAGTCTCATATTGATTTGCAAGACAAATCCACAAAGTTTAGTGGAGCTGAAGGAGACATTACCTATTTATTTATATAAAGATACATAGTGTTTATTTTTATTTATTTTAAACTGTTTTAACTGTTGTTTTAATAATTTTAACTGGTTGCTTATTGTGTGCCACTCAGGGTCACATTGTGAGATGGGCGGCTATATAAATCTGATAAATAAAATTAAAAAAAAGATGCAGATTTAGCCATTAATGTTGTAGTGACTTTATGGCTAGTCCCATAGTATTACATCAGAGGTTCTGATACTAGGGTTTGCTCTTAGTTGTTAATTGTGGGTTTTGCTTTTTATTTAAATAGCTGGATTACATGGAATCTATTCTTAAATGGACAAATATTTTTATTTTTCTTTCTTTCTGTTCCCTGTTGGATAAGAAAGGCTAAACAAAATAGAATTGAGGGGAAATCGGTGCTTCTGGTATCTAGATGCGCTGTGCATGTATTATTTTCTTCATCCCAGTGACCAACAGCTGCTTGTAATAGTTACAAATTGGTCATTAGTTTGAGTGACAATTACCTGATCCATAGTACAAACATGGTCTAACTCATTGTGGTCTCTTTGCCACTTGATAAAACAGAATTGTAGCAGCTCAGCAGGATCTTTGGCAAAGATATTTCACATCAAATTCTGATGGGGATTGAGCAGAAAACTTTCTGCAAGGCATGTGCTCTGCCACTGAGCAGTGATTCTCTCTCTGTAGAATGTGGTTAAGTGCACTACAGGAAAAAGATGAGGAATCCTGTGACCTTTGGAATTGGATTGCATTGAGATCTTATTGCCTGCAGTTGTTATATCCTATTTCAAATGGTGGGTAATGTAGTCCAAAAAATTTAGTTGGCCAAAGATCCTTTATATCTATTATGACAAGAAGGCTTCTGAACACACTGCAGAAAATATACATGCCTGGATATGGCTTGGAAATTATGTCAGATGCATCTTCACAGTGAAGTAAGCCTACATGATGGTTAGATACAGTACTGTATTGCTTAAGAAACTGCTGTTGATCCTCTTTCCTTTTTTTTTAATGATAACAAGGCTATGTTTTAGTTTATGCCCTTAAGGACTCACTGCAGTAAGAGTGCATTTTAAATCCCTAATCATAATTTTTAAAACTAGAACTTTTTCAATTCAGTTCTTTTACAAGGTAATAGAAATATTAAATTTGCTTTATTTGAATAAATTCTGAATATCAAGGTTCTTACATTTGAATATTATTTGCACAGATCATTGATAAGAACGGTCTTGTTATTTTGTAGACTATGGCTTAAGCTTGCCTCTTGGGGAAGAATATGAACATAAAAAACACAAACTAAAGGAGGAACTTCGGCAGGATTACAGGCGATATCTTTCACAGGTAAGAAACTGTATCAGATTAAATCTTTAATGCTGGTTCATGAAGTAAAAATACAGCGGTACCTCGGGATACAAATGCCTCTACTAACGAACTTTTTGGGTTACGACCAGCTCCAGCCGTAAAAATTTACCTCAATGTGCGAACTCCGCCTTGGGGTACGGTCATTTTTCCGCCCTGACACGTGGTCTGCAGCCATTTTTCCGCCCTGACACGTGGTCCACGGCCATTTTTTCGCCCCTGACACGTGGTCCGTGGCCATTTTCCTGCCCCACCGTGCGGCGCCCGTCCGTTTTCTTGCCCTGCCACGCAGTGCCCGTCCGTTTTCCTGCTGTGCTGCGCGGCGCCCGGCTGTTTTCCCGCCCCTGACGCGTGGTCCGCGGACGCCAGAACGGATTAATGGTAATTACATTGAACCTTATGGGAAAATTTGCTTCGGGGTGCGACCAGATTCAGAGGGCGGAATGGATTAACTGGATTACATTGAACCCTATGGGGAAATTTGAGTCGGGTTACGACCAACTCGGGATACGCCCAGAGTCACGGAACGGATTAAGTTCGTATCCCGAGGTACCACTGTACACGGGTTACGACCAACTCGGGATACGCCCAGAGTCACGGAACGGATTAAGTTCGTATCCCGAGGTACCACTGTACACGGGTTACGACCAACTCGGGATACGCCCAGAGTCACGGAACGGATTAAGTTCGTATCCCGAGGTACCACTGTACATTAAAACTAAATTTCTTAAGAATTGAAGACATTAATTTCTTGAATTTGTTGCTGTGTAGAGTCAGGTTAATGTTAAATGCCATGTAAAATATCCATGACAATAAATTATTGGAAATAGATTTGGAGGAGGCTTTCATATGAGTTTGGTAGGAGGAGCAGAGGAAGAAATTATATTATGAACAGATGAATTCCTGGTTTAATTTACATGATACATTTAATTAGCCAAATGTATGTTAGACTAGTGCAGTGATAGTGAACCTTTTGGGCTTGGCGTGTCAAAAATTTGGAAAATGCCTAACTTGACTCTGCTGGCATGTCATCCCCCCCCCGGGAACAAAGAGAAACAATTCTTTACATATTCATTTATTTTTAAAAAATACAGTCCAATCATGTGTATATCTTTATATGTATTATATAAAGAAATGTCAAATAATTACAAAAATGAAATACGAATAAAACAAACTCAGTTTCTTTGGCAACTCAAACAGGGAGAATAGTTGTCAGATATTGGTGAATGCTGGCGTGTCACCCAAAACATAGTGTGTCACCTTTGACATGTGTGTCATAGGTTCACCATCACTGGACTAGTGTGTTCTATAAACCTATACCATATGATTAGTTTATGATGCATTGTATTGTAACCCAGAAAACTGAGCTTCCATAAATTATGACAATGGGAATGCTAATGCTATCATTGTTACAAGAGGTGGATGGTGTTAGAAAAGTGAACCGTGTGTTGTGGAATGGGGGAGAAAAACCACAGCTAAAACCACAACATAAACAGCTCACAATTGTGTTACAGGGCAAGTTTTTGGGATATGCCTGGATATGGCTTAGAAATTATGTCAGAAGGTGCATATTTTTCATTTTGTTTCCTTGGGCAATCAGAAGGCATGGGGAGCAGGACACCAATGTCACACAAATGAGCAAGGCTGTTATTTATATATATATTTTTAATTGTTGTGGATGGATATGTTTTGGTATTTTTTGGTGTGTGTCAAGCTTGATCCTAGATAAGCTTAAAACACTTAAAATTTTTAGTTACTGACAGGTTTTCAGTGATATTCAGTTAATATCACTGTGATGTGTTATCTGACAATATTTGGGGAGTTGTGGTTCATCCAACATCATTCAAAAAATGCAAACAGACTGAGAGAAATGATTTATCTATCTAAATTAAAAAAATATATATGTTAGAGAGATTTTGCTTTACAAATGAATAGAAGATAAAAGGAGAGGATAATGCCTGAAAAACAGAGGTGGTGAAAGAACAGAAGAATATTTATGTGATTAATAGAAAAAAGTGAAACATGGATTAGAAAAATTGAAAAAACAATTTTAGTCTATTACATGTAGTTAAGCTTAGCATCAAAAGATGAATTAGCGATAAAGATAATATATTATAAAAATGTGATGGTTCACAAGGTAATGGCAGGAAGGACAAACTTGGTTTAACAATTACAGTTTTAAAAAATTTCTACTTCTACATGTTTTAAATCCTTTTGTGCTGAATTTTCTGTATGTGCTTGAGCTTATGGGATGATACAGTAGCAAAGATCATAATCCAAATATATATAAAAGAATTTCCAGTGACAGTTTTCTCCAATATTATATGAATTGGAAATTTGTATTTATATTTTTAGTAGCAGTTAAGTTTAATAGTGTAAATTAATATATTAAATACTATTCACTGCACTTCTTAAGGATCAGCATCTTTAAATCATTTTAAATTTGCACATGTCTGTCTAAGGGAGGAAAATGATTCAGAACTGTTATTGACAGAATATTCTTTAAGATGAAGTCTGTTTTTCAAACTTTTAGGGTATGTCAGAGGCAAAAAAGAAGGTATGGTGCTTGCATTATGCTACTCTTCAAATTAATATTTCGCTTTATTTAAATGTGCTATTAAAAAGTCTTGGGTGAAAAATCAGTCTTTGTGCTTGGCTGTGTTTTGTGGCTGTCTTGCCTTTTAAAAAGTTGATTTTCACACACTATTCATAATTTTCTGTTCATATCATCTTACCATACTGATGGTCTTTCCTGTATTTGATTTCACTGCAAAATTGATATTCTATGTTACGTTTAATATAATGAATACAAGACATGCTGAAATTGATTGTCAGTATATGTTGGTTTTAATTCTTATTTTTACAATGTCTAGGAACTTTCGATTTAAATATATATAAATGATAAATTATTTTCAGTAACCTGAAAATAATGTCATGTTAGTTACCTGATATTGGCATGTAGACTAGATAAACAGAAATGAAACTGTAGTGTTATGCATACTACTAAGGAAGTAAATGCTGTTGAACACAGAGATTATATTTTGAAACAAAAGATTATACAATTAAACATGTTTGAAAATCTTGAAAATGTGCTGCTTAAATTCTTATTACTTAGTTTAGAACATAAGTTTATGTTTATTTTAAATTATTATTTTTACAATGTCTAGGAACATTGGATTTAAATATTTATTGATTTTATTTTTTGTAGAAAAGATACTTAACATCAGGTGAAGTTGACCCATATACTCAGGGACTTTCTCTTCCTATTTGTGACAGAAGGTCCGCTAAGGTAGGTTTATGGAAACTTAACAAATTGTTGTGAGTTGGAAATTATATATTTTTGTGTATTACAACCACAAAATGAAATCCTCTACTTTTGTTGGTGATATGAAATATCAGCCATTCCACACTGTCTCCTGTCATATCCATAGACATCTCTTTTGAATTTGTGGGCTATATGAAGTTGCTTAAAACAGCATTTAACTAAATACAGAAATGAAATATTTTTTCTCAATTTGTGTGGAATTTATTGCATACAAAAATCTTTTTTTTTTCATGATATTTGATAATCTGTTATCAGAGCTGTGCTATAATCTACATATATAATAACAGAATTTTATTGTGTTTCTTGATAACCACATTAGTTCAGAAAACCAGTGAGACTGCCATATATAGTGTTCTTCATTGAGATAAAACTCTCATGATACTACTCCATGTTAATCCAGTAATTTGCAGTATTTGGATTCTAGACCAAAGAATCTATTGGTAAAGAGATGAATCTATTTTTGTTGAATATGCTGAGCAAAGGGAAGCTCGCTACCTCCCCTGGTAGCTATTTCTATTGCCAAACTGCTGTTCCCTTAGGAATCTTTTCTTAACATTCAAACAGAATCTGCCTTCTTGCAGCTTAAGCTCATTTTTCTGTATCCTGTGCTCTGAAGTAATAGAAAACAAGTCTTGGCATTCTTTACTTATTTATCACATTTACAGTCTGCCACAATCCCAAAGTACTCTTAGTAGTTCACAAGATAAAGTACACAATAAACACTACACAATAAACAGATCTACAAGCCAATAAACATAAAATACAAATTCAATAACAAAGCCAGTATATATCATTGGCCAAAGCCAATGATGGTATCATACCCTCTGGAAGAGCTCAATTTTGAGCTATTTCTGGAAGGCAATCCAAGGCAGAACCAATTGGATGTCCATTGGGAGGCCATTCTAAAGGACTGATGCCACTACAAAAAATTGGCATTTCCAAGCCGTGGCCCCCTTCATTCCCCTAAAGTGGCCAGGTTGCCTCACATTGCCTATAGCAAAACTGGACTTTCAGAAGTCCTAATATGTCTCTTCTCAAGTAATCCTTCTTTTTTTAAGATTAAACATACCCAGTTCTCTCAGTATCTTTTCATAAGATTTAGTTTCCAGCTCTCTGATCATTCTTGCTGTTCTTTCCACTTATTCAGTGAATGTTTCATAATATGTTATGCCCTGTTTTGTAATATGTCATGCCATGAAATTGAACACAGCACTTTGAGGTGGAGTCTGACCAATACAGATGATAGTGGAACTATTAGTTCCATCATTTGGAAACTGTACGTATGTGAAATTATACTTTCAGAGGCTGACTTCAGGAACTGGGAGGAATGCCAGAGCACTTGGCCATAGGGTGCAGTGCATGTGCAGTCTGTGCATCTGCATGCAGGGCTTTCTGAGGAGTCATAGCTAACTACAGGAGTGTGCTTAGGTTGGAGGTTAACAGCAAGATGATGAAGAGCTGGATTCACAGTGTGTGTGTATGCAGACAGGGCAAGTAGCAGTTGGCAAGGAAAGAAGAACATGAGTCTTAGATGGAGTTACTGGGAAGGAGAGCATGGGATGTGTATCTGTACCCTGAGTTTGCCAAGAGCTGAAGAAGAGATGTAAAGCAAGATTGAGCAATTTGAGGTTGGAGAGCATAGTGAAGTCTTGGAATGCTAAGAGGTTAGCCAGAGTTGAGCTCAGTAATAAACTGGGGGTAAGAGGGTAATAGGAATGAGAGACTTAGAACATGGAGCAAGTTGCAGAAGTTGCTTCTAGCAACTGACGAGCTGTGGCTGTGTGTGCATAGCTCTAGCTCCTTTTGTGCAGCCAGTGCTGATGAGGCAGCCAGCCTGCCAGGTCTAGGTGGGGTCATCTACTTGCCTGCTTCTGCAGAGTTCAGGGATTTTGAACTGAAGTGGTCTCCTGACACGTCAATTGGGGAGGCTTCTGTATGTGGCAGTGTCATATCTGAAGGAATGGAAGGCTCTCCAGCATCCTCTGTGCCCTAATTTCTGTGTTCCTTGAGCAGTGACATATCCCTTCATTGCTTCACCATAAACTAGAATTTGTCTTTTTAGCAATGTGTCCCGCTAATGCATTTTCAACTAACTAATTTTCAACTTATGGTCCTCTACTTTTCCAAGATTTCTCTTTCTACATCTATGCTTTTGATTTCTTTTTCTTAGTGAACAACATTGCATTTGTCCCTATTAAATTTAATTCTGATATTTTCTGCCCATTTCCTTAACCTATCAAGATAATTTTGAATTTATTTCTGTCTTCTGGGGTATTGGCTATTCCATAGAGTTTTGTGTTACCAGCTTCCTCAAGGGGTTCTTCAAGTTATCTGGTGAAATATATATTCTCTTCTTTAAGAAGACTGAGCCGAAAGAGGAACTGAGTACTGTAGTTCCACCTATTCTTTATCACCTGTTAGCATTTTGCTGTCTTCACTGAGCAGCTGATATGCTGACTTTTCTTGTTGCGTTTGAAAATATTGGAAGAAGCCGTTTGTTGTTTCTGGAATCGTTAGCTAGCTTCAGCTCATTATAAATATTAGCTCTCCTCTACAGTTCTGGGCTATCTGTATGTACTCTTCCTTGGTGAGTTCTCCCTCTTTCCACCTTCTGTACAGAATATGTGTATCACTGGTTGGGGGGGAATTCAGTTTTGCATTAAAGTTTTTGTGTAGCCACATTGATGTCTTCTCATTTCTTCATTTTTTTTCTTGTTGGAATTATTTGCAATTGTGCTTTTCATAGTTCAGTTTTTAGGAATTTGAATTGATCCATATTTTCCTTTGCCCATTAGGCTTAATACCTTTCTTGAAACCCCTGGCATTTATTTGTCTATATTCAGTATTATTTTCCCTTAATATAAGGAATTCAATATTACGTGGTTACTTTCTCCCAGAGTCACTCTGTTCTATTTCTTCTACAAAGTCTCCTCTGTTAGTTAGGATCAAGTCAAAGAAAGTGGCTTCTATTGTGCTTTCCTCTACAGTACTCTCTGAAGGAGAAAGTAGTCAAAAGTCAGAAATTGCCTGGATGTATGAAGCTTGGCAGTTCATTTCCAAACAGAAATTTGAGTAATTAGAATGTCCCTTTACATTTCTCTTTGAAAGATTTGTAGTTTGTAGAGAGCCAGTAGTGTAGTGGTTAAGGTGTTTATATGTTGTATTTTATAATTCTTGAGAGGATTGGCGCCTTTCCCAATGGGCGTGCAAGTTAGAAAATAAAGTTTAAGAGTCAAAATTAATGTGTTGCGATGAGTAGTGTAAAGTAAGATTTAAGTTCAAATTCTTTCTGGGCCATTTTCTTAAAACTAGTCTACATGTTACTCTACCAACTCCTGATTTCAAAATAATTTCCCATGTGATTGAATAAGTAGTTATTGCATTCCTGCTGGCATACAGAAATGATCACATAGTAAAGTTTTAGGGAAAATGTTGTTCAGACTACTTCCTACTGATTTATGTTCTTAATGCTAAAAAGGCAGGAGCTGTTGTACCTTCAAAAATGAAGATCAGATTATGATTTCCCTGTTCTGGTGAAGCTTTGTTTTGTTTTGGAAAAATACATTTTGCATTATACTGGTCTCTGGAATATGAAATTCTAAATAAACCTTGGAAGCCTTTGTATGGCCGAAGGCTTTCACGGCCAGCATACGAGGGCTGGTGTGGGTCTTCCGGGCTGTGTGGCCGTGTTCTGGAAGTTTTGTTTCCTAAC